AGTGTAGTGACGAACTCTAACATTCGTTAATGCATTATAATGTAAATTTGACCACTCTTCATGGTCATATTGCGTACCGACGCTGCAACTTCTCTCTTGTAATAAAGTTGGTAGAATTACCGGCAATAGGGAAAGTAAAAGGACACAAGTGCAACTAATGTGACATTTTATTGTGGCAACGTTTCGCTCTCCAGGAGCTTTATCAAGCCGATGCAAACAGTTTGTATCGGCTTGACAAAGCTCCTGGAGAGCGAAACGTTGCCACAATAAAGTGTCACATTAGTTGCACTTGTGTCCTTTTACTTTACAACTTCTCTCTTACACAAACCATAGCACGGGCGGGGTAACAACCCACGATCAGAGAGTCATAAAACTCAAGACCAACGCATTAGCGGGTTCTAACCCCGCCCGTGGTGTGACTTGTTTACAATCGTGGAGAAACAGTGACTCATGCATATATATCAGTGTTCATAATTGGGATTGTCTACAAACCCCACACATCACGACGGTAAGTGCCCATTAACAGTACTGTTGAATGAACATTTATATGTATGTTACAGGGCTTGCCAAACGCTACCTCATCAGAAACCTACAGCCTAACACCCGGCTTATGGCCTGTTTCGTCTCCAGAGCTTGTCAAGCCGATTGCAAACAGTTGTATCGGCTATGAACAAGCTCCTGGATGGAAACGTTGCACATTAAAATGTCACATTAGTTGCATTGTATCCTTTTACTTCACAACTTCTCTCTGTACCCCGCCCGGCTATGGTTTGTGTAACACCCACGATCCAGAGAGTCATGAAACTCCAGACAACCGCATTAGCGGTTCTAAACCCCGCCCTTTGTGGTTTTGGTATGTTTACAATCGTGGCCAGAAACATTGCTCATGCATATATAGACATTGTTCTAATAGTGATATGTCTAACAACCCCACACATCACGACGGTAATTCCCATTTACCAGTACTATTGATGAACATTATATGTAGTTGCTGGCGCATGCCAAATCTGCACCTTCATCAGAAATACTACACCTACCACCCGAGCTTAACGTCCCTGTGTAAGAAAATCAGAGGTAAACATACTTAGTCTGATATGGAAGACAGATCTTGATTGGATCAATTAATGACTTGAATTGGCTCAGTTACCTAATCATCTTACAATACGGGCATGTCACAGACCGGCCCGGGAGCTTACCCCGAACTCTCTCCGTAAACTCCGGTAATACCTCAGTTCTTTACTAATGATGTTTTGAGATATATTTTAAAGGAATAAAAAAAGTAATTTTAAATGATGGTCAATGATAATTTTTACAAATATAGAATTAAGTTTTTCATAGAAGATCGACAGCCACTAAAATGTATCTGTATAAGGTCGACATTTCCCGTTTCAGCTGGATGTCCAGTGAATCAAGTTCTACTATGGATGGCCAGTTGATAATCCTGAAGTCTTTTGTGTTCAGAATAGATTTACTAGTCTTATCAGCATCCTAGCTCTACTAAATAAGTTCTTCTAAGTCTCTGTAGCTGTTAAAGTTAACAAAGACCGCAGATTAACCATACTTGTCTGATGGAGAGGAAGTACCAGAATTCTTGACAAAGGACGAGTTTATTTACTAAACGCAGCATTACCTAAGTTCTTTACTAAAGGATCCGCTAGCCACTTTACCTAAGTTCTTTACTAAAGGATCCGCTAGCCACTTTACCTAAGTTCTTTACTAAAGGATCCGCTAGCCACTTTACCCAAGTTCTTTACTAAAGGATCCGCTAGCCACTGTACGTAACACTGTGCTCATATGCCTTTAGTCGACGTTTCCCAGAAAATGTAAACAGCAATAAGACACATACATTCTACCGCTTTCATTTTATTGCATTAGTAGTAGTAGTATTATTTTGCTCTGTTTATGCGGATCTGTTGGATGAGTTACATTACACAGGTCAAGACTCCCAGGTGCTATGATACATCTCCTGTTCTAGTCTAGTTACCTGTAAATATAGTCTTCTATTTTATTATGAAGAAAAATATGTTACCACAAGTATTTCTGAATATTTGAAGAGAAATTTCAGGTATTTACGTTACATACACAGCTGGAGAGCTGGAGAGTTTGTGATACTTGGAGGAACTTCCACCTGCAGGTAAGGATACTTGCAGGAAGGTGACTATACTTGCAGGAAGGTGACTATACTTGCAGGAAGGTGACTGTACTTGCAGGAAGGTGAATACTTGCAGGGAGATAAATACTTGCAGGAAGGTGACTATACTTGCAGAAGGTGACTATACATGCAGGAAGGTGACTATACTTGCAGGAAGGTGACTATACTTGCAGGAAGGTGACTATACTTGCAGGAAGGTGACTATACTTGCAGGAAGGTGACTATACTTGCAGGAAGGTGACTATACTTGCAGGAAGGTGACCATACTTGCAGGAAGATGACTATACTTGCAGGAAGGTGAATGCTTGCATGAAGGTGAATACTTTCAGGAAGGTGAATACTTGCAGGAAGGTGAATACTTGCAGGAAGGTGAATACATGCAGGAAGATAAATATACATGCAGGAAGGTGAATATACATGCAGGAAGGTGAATATACATGCCTGAAGGTGAATATACATGCCTGAAGGTGAATACTTGCAGGAAGGTGAATACTTGCAGGGAGGTGAATACTTGCAGGAAGGTGAATATACATGCAGGAAGGTGAATACTTGAAGGAAGGTGAATGCTTGCAGGAAGGTGAATACTTGCAGGGAGGTGAATACTTACAGGAAGGTGAATATACATGCAGGAAGGTGAATACTTGCAGGAAGGTGAATACTTGCAGGGAGGTGAATACTTACAGGAAGGTGAATATACATGCAGGAAGGTGAATACTTGCAGGGAGGTGAATACTTACAGGAAGGTGAATATACATGCCTGAAGGTGAATATACATGCCTGAAGGTGAATACTTGCAGGAAGGTGAATATACATGCAGGAAGGTGAATACTTACAGGAAGGTGAAGACTTACAGGAAGGTGAATACTTGCAGGAAGGTGAATACTTACAGGAAGGTGAATATACACGCCTGAAGGTGAATATACATGCCTGAAGGTGAATACTTGCAGGAAGGTGAATATACATGCAGGAAGGTGAATACTTTCAAGAAGGTGAATACCTGCAGGAAGGTGAATACTTGCAGGAAGATGAATACTTGCAGGAAGGTGAATACTTGCAGGGAGGTGAATACTTTCAGGAAGGTGAATACTTGCAGGGAGGTAAATACTTACAGGAAGGTGAATACTTACAGGAAGGTGAATATACATGCCTTAAGGTGAATATACATGCCTGAAGGTGAATACTTGCAGGAAGGTGAATACTTACAGGAAGGTAAATACTTGCAGGAAGGTGAATATACATGCCTTAAGGTGAATACTTACAGGAAGGTGAATACTTACAGGAAGGTGATAACATGCAGGAAGGTGAATGCTTGCAGGAAGGTGAATACTTTCAGGAAGGTGAATACTTGCAGGAAGGTGAATACTTGCAGGGAGGTAAATACTTACAGGAAGGTGAATATACATGCCTGAAGGTGAATATACATGCCTGAAGGTGAATAGACATACCTGAAGGTGGTATAAACCTTGGTAATAAATACCGACAAGTTGGTTTAGAAGGACACGTAAGCAAACACTATAACATATTTATTAGAAAACGTTTCGGTCCTGGGACCTTGATCACTTCTAACTTAAAAGTGATCAAGGTCCCAGGACCGAAACATTTTCTAATAAATATGTTATAGTGTTTGCTTACGTGTCTTTCTAAACCATAGCTGAAGGTGAATACTTGCACGGAGGTGAATACTTGCAGGGAGGTGAATACTTATAGGAAGGTGAATATACATGCAGGAAGGTGAATACTTGCAGGGAGGTGAATACTTGCAGGGAGGTGAATACTTGCAAGAAGGTGAATATACATGCAGGAAGGTGAATACTTGCAGGAAGGTGAATACTTGCAAGAAGGTGAATATACATGCAGGAAGGTGAATACTTGCAGGGAGGTGAATACTTGCAAGAAGGTGAATATACTTGCAGGAAGGTGAATACTTGCAGGGAGGTGAATACTTATAGGAAGGTGAATATACATGCAGGAAGATGAATACTTGCAGGAAGGTGAATACTTGCAGGAAGGTGGATAATTGCAGGGAGGTGAATACTTGCAGGGAGGTGAATACTTACATGAAGGTGAATATACATGCCTTAAGGTGAATATACATGCCTGAAGGTGAATATACATGCCTGAAGGTGAATACTTGCAGGAAGGTGAATACTTGCAGGGAGGTGAATACTTACAGGAAGGTGAATATATATGCAGTTAGGTGAATATACATGCAGGAAGGTGAGTATACATGCAGGAAGGTGAATACTTGCATGAAGGTGAATATACATGCAGGAAGGTGAATACTTACAGGAAGGTGAATATATATGAAGGAAGGTGAATATACATGCAGGAAGGTGAATATATTTACAGGAAGGTGAATATATATGAAGGAAGGTGAATATACATGCAGGAAGATAAGTATACATGCAGGAAGGTGAATACTTGCAGGAAGGTAAATACTTGCATGAAGGTGAATATACATGCAGGAAGGTGAATACTTACAGGAAGGTGAATATACATTCAGAAAGGTGAATACTGACAGGAAGGTGAATATACATGCAGAAAGGTGAATATACATGCAGGAAGGTGAATACTTACAGGAAAGTGAATATACTAGCAGGAAGGTTAATACTTACAGGAAAGTGAATATACATGCAGAAAGGCGAATACTTACAGGAAGGTGAATATACTTGCAGGAAGGTGAATACTTACAGGAAGATGAATATATATGCAGAAGGAAGGGGAACATGCAAGGAGAATGTACTTGAAGGAAGGTGTAAATACTTGCACGAATGGATATATGTGTACATGAGGGAAGATATATGTACTTTCAGGTATGAGTATAACTGGACCATCTTCTAACCCACAGCCGGTGAGGAGTCAGCAGCAGCGGTGCAGAGTGGCGTGACGGCGCTGAGAGCGGACACGGGTGTTATGTGGGCGTGTGTGGGTGTTATGTGGGCGTGTGTGGGCGTTATGTGGGTGGCCACCCTGGTGGTTACTTGCCTTGCGTCTGCATCCCAACTCACCTGAAGAAACGTAGGTACGGTGATGGGTTTTCTATTATATTTACGTTTAAATCCTGCTGTGACGAGTGGCAACAATGATAGAATAAGCTGTAAGTGGGACGGTAATGCTGACAAGACGCAGGTAATGACACCTGTTGTCATCCCTAATAGAAGGACAACTAACATAGACACCTATGTAGTAGGAAAAAGGACACAGGCACAACTAATGGCATTTTATTGTGCCAACGTATCTCCTGGAGCTTAGTCAATCCAGTAATGGCTTAATAAAGCCAGTAGCTAGACTTGATAAATCACTAGAGGCATACATTGCCGCAATAAAATGCCGCATTAATTGTTCTGTTGCCTAACATATTTACGGTAATTCTACCAATATTATTACAATGTATAGTAATTAGAGTCAGGTGACTAGCGAGATAGTGGGTTAAGGTACCAGGAGAGCCATGCGTTGTAACTAGATATCAGGTGATACCTAGTGACTCTGGGCAACATCCTATTTACCCGGCTTCTAGGTGTCCTGTAACTACTAGACATTTGTGATATCTTGTTAATGGCAGCAATTAATATGTCTGTTGAGCATAGACCAATATGTCTGTTGAACATAGATTAGTATATATGTTGAACACTGAACAATTTTTTAGTGTTGAACATAGGCCAGTATCTCTGTTGAACATAGACTAGTATTTTTGTTGAACATAGGCTTGTATAAATGTTGAATGTAAGCTAGTACCTGTGTTGAACGTAGACTAATATCTGTGTTGAACGCTGGCCAGTACCTGTTGAACACAGGTCAGTATCTGTTGAACACAGGTCAGTATCTGTTGAACACAGGCCAATATCTGTTAAACACAGGCCAATATCTATTAAACACAGGTCAGTATCTGTTAAAAACAGGTCAGTATCTGTATTGAACATAGACCAGTATTTGTATTGAACATAGGTCAGTATCTGTATTGAACATAGGTCAGTATCTGTGTTGAACATAGGTCAGTATGTATTGAACACAGGCCAGCATATATGTTGAACACAGGCCAGCACATGTGTTGAACACAGGCCAGAATATGTGTTGAACACAGGCCAGCATATGTGTTGAACACACGATAGTATGTGTGTTGGCACAGGCCAGTATGTGTGTTGAGCACAGGCCAGTATGTGTGTTGAACACAGGCCAGTATGTGTGTTGAACACAGGCCAGTATGTGTGTTGAACACAGGCCAGTATGTGTGTTGAACACAGGCCAGTATGTGTTGAACACAGGCCAGTATGTGTGTTGAACACAGGCCAGTATGTGTGTTGAGCACAGGCCAGTATGTGTGTTGAGCACAGGCCAGTATGTGTGTGAGACACAGGCCAGTATGTGTGGTGACACAGGCCAGTATGTGTGTTGACACAGGCCAGTATGTGTGTTGAACAAGCACTATGTGTGACACAGATATATGTGTGTTGAACATGGCCAGTATGTGTGTTGAACACAGGCCAGTATGTGTGTTGAACACAGGCCAGTATGTGTGTTGAACACAGGCCAGTATGTGTGTTGAACACAGGCCAGTATGTGTGTTGAACACAGGCCAGTATGTGTGTTGACACAGGCCAGTATGTGTGTTGAGCACAGGCCAGTATGTGTGTTGAGCACAGGCCAGTATGTGTGTTGAACACAGGCCAGTATCTGGGTTGAACACAAGCCAGTATCTGGGTTGAACACAGGCCAGTATTGGTTGAACACAGGCCAGTATGTGTGTTGAACACAAGGCCAGTATTGGGTTGAACACAGCCAGTATTGGGTTGAACACAGGCCAGTATTGGTTGAACACAGGCCAGTATTGTGGTTGACACAGCCAGTACTGGGTTGAACACAGCCAGTATCTGGGTTGAACACAAGCCAGTATCTGGGTTGAACACAAGCCAGTATCTGGGTTGAACACAAGCCAGTATCTGGGTTGAACACAAGCCAGTATCTGGGTTGAACACAAGCCAGTATCTGGGTTGAACACAAGCCAGTATCTGGGTTGAACACAAGCCAGTATCTGGGTTGAACACAAGCCAGTATCTGGGTTTAACACAAGCCAGTATTGGGTTTAACACAAGCCGTGTTGGGTTAACACAAGCCAGTATCGGGTTGACACAAGCCAGTATCTGGTTGAACAAAGCCAGTATCTGGGTTGAACACAAGCCAGTATCTGGGTTGAACACAAGCCAGTATCTGGGTTGAACACAAGCCAGTATCTGGGTTGAACACAAGCCAGTTTCTGGGTTTGAACACAAGCCAGTATCTGGGTTGAACATAGACATGTTCTAAAGTTCTTGCTGTTTTGACTTGGTTATGTCAGCATGTTCTATTATGTTCCAATAATAACTTTGTGTTCTCAAGACCATTGTTAAAAATTTGTACGTTATATGCAATAAGCTTACAAAAAATATTATTAACCTATTTACTAACAATATCTTAGACACCGACGTCGTGTGGAACATAATACTTGAATCTGCAAAACTTCAAAAACATTAGCATACATAAGTGCCACATGAAATCACTGTCTACTTGTCCTTGTCTCAAATACAATTTTTTTAAGGTCACTGTGCCACACCTCATTCTCCACTTGTATGTAGTGTCATTATCTCTGTGTTAGAAGAGATCAAGGTCCCAGGATCGAAAGGTTTTCTGATAAATATTGCTGAGTGTTTGCTGACGTCTTTTTAGACAACTTACCATGGACACTCACTTTCGTGAAACGTAGTTAATTCTTGATGTAAATGCTGGATGAATTTTGGCCTCTGCAGGTCCCATATTGTCTTTTTATATGCAAGAAATTGGAAAAATAAAATTTCTGCCTTTCATGCAATAAGTTCTGAGTGTCGTATTTAATTCCTTTTAATCCTATAACTCTGATAATTTGATAATACAACTACAGCTCAGCTTCAAG